TTTTTTGTAGTAATATTTGCTTTCTCGTTGTGTATATTGCGACCGCTGGTAACTACAGGTTATATGAAATTCACAGTATACGTCTGGTATTTCAAGAAAAAAGAAACTAATGAAAGTCACTCCACTCCACTAAGTACCATTATAATACTGGTTAGTTGCTACTACAACACTGTATTCTGCTATTCACTGGTATCACTAGATTATATGCGAGTACACTAGCAAGCCAGGAAGATTTTTAAAAACAGCTGACCTGTGGTAAGTTTCTGGCACTTCTGGCACCTGCCTCTATAGGCTTATCACTTCATTTACAAATTCACCTGTTTTCAAATGACACTTTAGCCTTTATCATCAATATACTAGGGAGCCACTGTAGTATACACTATACACTATGTATACTCAATGCTTTCAGGGAGACTTTCTTTCCTCTGACACAAAGTTCATTTATTATTATTTTTTCACACGGGACACAGGCCTATGATTCCCCTCTGGCAGTAAACTCTGCTAGGTAGTGCACACTAATTCTCCTTTTTTGACTCAGTATATAATGTTTTCCGCCCAAGATTGGTTCCAGGCGCTAGAGGCATGTATCGTATAGGATTGATGACACAAATTAAAGTTCTAGCACGTAAGAGCCACCGTGAAAACACCAGAAAACCCGGAGCACAACGAGGCACGCTGACACTCAGACACGCACCTACTACCTCTGGGTGAGAACTAAAGTACACTAATGTAAATAAATCACACTGTTTGGGTTTCATGGGTTATCCTGTCTGAGGTCCTCTGCTATAATTATGACAAGGTATATAGACCGAGAGATGTATATACAGCCTCTCCTCACTTAGCGATGTACTCGTTTACCGACGCCTCGGACTTATGATGGTTTCTGTGACCAGTATGCATACCTAAATAGTGTATGTATATTAGAGGTGATTTCCACTATTCTGTTTATTACAGTATACAGTACAGTACACTACTGTATAAACATTTAAAAATACATACCAGAAATGTTATAAATGGTGCAAAGGAGCAGAGGCATTGCTAGGGTTGGTGTCACCCAGGGTGGAATCTTTGGTGTCACCTGGTGCAGCATCTTTGATGTCAACCCCATGAAATCCAAGGGCTGGGGGATGGGGGGTAAACTCCAATTATGTCAGTACTGCATGCCCAGTAACTAATGTTTAGCAATGAGAATGTTTAAGGGCCATAAACCGAACAGAAGAATACTTCTCAACTTTATTAACGATAAAATAAGTAATCATAGTAATACGTTAAATCCGACTAGCGATACATTTTAACGCAAAAATTTTGCCTCGACTAGCGCTAAAAAACTCGACCAACGCGATTCGTTCCGTTCGAGACGCGTCCATGTGTGGCCTGCGCAGTGCTTACAAGCCAGCCACTGCGCTCGCATCCAAACATACAATCGGAACATTTCATATTATCACAGCATTTTTAGTGATTGCACCTGCAAAATAAGTCACCATGGGCCCCAAGAAAGCTTCTAGTGCCATCCCTGTGATAAAAAGGGTGAGAATTAGTATGGAAAATAAGAAAGATTTTGAAGGGTTTGGGGCTTACCCTGAGACGCCTATGCCAGTTGTGGAATCCATTGTGCCTACTTCAAAGATTAAGGAAATGTGTGCAAAGTGGGTTGAACTGCAAACCCTTATGGATGAAAATCACCCTAACACAGCTATTGCAAGCCGTGCTGGTGACTATTACAATGACAATGTTGTGGCCCATTTTAGACAAATCGTAAAGGAACGGGAGGTACAGAGCTCTATGGACAGATATGTTGTGTGACAGAGGTCCAGTGACTCTCAAACTGGTCCTAGTGGCATTAAAAGAAGAAGGGAAGTAACCCCGGAAAAGGACTTGACACCTCAAGTCCTAATGGAAGTGGATTCCCCTTCCAAACACTAACACCATCCACTTTCTCCCCTCCTCCCATCCCATCAGTCATCACCAGATCTTCAATAAAGGTAAGTGTCATGTAATTGTACATGTCTTCTTCAGTTTGTGTGTATTAAAATTAATATTTCATGTGGTAAAAATTTTTTTTTTCAATGCTTTGGGGTGTCAGGCACGGATTAATTTGATTTCCATTATTTCTTATGGGGAAAATTAACTCGACTAACGATAATTTTGACTAACGATGAGCTCTCAGGAACGGATTAATATCGTTGGTCGAGGGTCTACTGTATTGAGGAAACATAAACTCAAATACCACTCTGAGTACAGGCAACAGGTCCAACATTTATTCATCTGCAACAATATAAAAAAAAAACTTTAAAAATAAAGAAAAACATTGCAATATCAGAGAAACACTAGTTCTGATTTGACCTTGAGTACAGGTAACATCTCAGTGAATCTGATCTTACATTTCCTTGCCTTCAATCCTGCAAAATCATCTATCACATCGTCAAAATCAATGATTTTCCCTATATAGGCCTATTTGTACTCTAATCATATAATAGGCTGTATAGAAATGAAAGAGTCTTCTCTTATGTTTGTGCAGCATTGTTTTGGATATTAGTGTCACCTTCTTTAGAGGCTCTATGGTCTCACCCCCTAAAAGGTGTCACCTGGGGCGCCCCTGCCCCCCCTTACGACACCACTGCACAGGTGACATTAAAGCAATATCAAAGATGGTTGACACAAACCCTTTACCATTATAGTATGCTCCTCACTTAGTGATGAATTCGTTTACTGGTGTGGTCTTAGGAACGGAACTCCGTTGTTAAGTGAGGAGAGGCTGTGTGTAAAACCCCACTCATACTTTGGTTTTTTCAGAGTATTTAATCTTTATTTTGGGATTAAAGTACGGTATTCTTGCCTGGTGATGAAAAGGTTATGTGCAACCTTAATTAATGACCCTCATTAACTCCATTAACCAATTCTACTACAATTAAATCCCTATTGCCCAAATATTTAACATTGTTTTATGCAAATTAAAAAAATTCTAGGGAGATGTATAAAGTCATTTCCACTTAAGATTATACCTAGTTACTCGACTTAGAATGTTTTTTTCAGAGTGCAAAATGGCATGTCTCACCAACTCGGGTTCCGAGGCTATACAGCGGACACTGGAGAAGGGGACCGGGCGAATATCAACAGTTGACATTGAGGAGATGTATGAGATCACTCGGTGTGTTGAATGGGTCCAAGTCAGAGGCTACAAGAAGGTACTTACATGTAACTAGCTTCTTAGAGTATTAGTTGATAATGTGAAAGATTATTATTAAAACAAGGACTACAATGGAAATAAGTAATATTAATTTTATTGGTTATTCTAGGTAACTTACATATACAGGCGGGCCTCGTTTTACAGCACTTCGCTGTACTACATTTCAATAATGCAGCAGATTTCAGTTATACCCATTCTTCCTTTATTCAGACTTCCTACAATTCACCACTCACTATAAGCTAAGGGGAAAAATATTTTAAGGTAAGTAATGTGTGTACTGTATATGCATTTTATTTGGCTTAGTTCTATTGCTCACTTAATATATGATAGTATAAAGATGTTATCTGGCTTTTATATGCATTTGAAAGTGATAAAAAGCTGTTTCACTTTACAGCAATTTTCATTTTACAGCAGTAGCTCAGAAACTAACCTGCTGTATAAGTGGGACCTACCTGTATTGATATCAGTGAAAATTGTGCTATCGTCCCAACACTGCTAAATTCTAAATCCAAACAGAGAGGCATGCATATTGGTTTCTATCCCAGAAACACTAAAGGAGATTTTAACCCCTTGACTGTTGCAACCCAAAATCCTGAGGTGTCTCCTGGTGTCGCAAAATTTCTGAAAAAAAAAAAAATTATTTTTTCTTATGAAATGATAGAGAATCTTTTCTCGATTGTAATGACACCAAAAGAACGAAATTTGATGGAAAACTGACAGAATTACGCTCTCGCGAAGTTAGCGACCTCGGCAATATTTATGAATTGGCGATTTCGCCCACATTGAGCCCTATTTTCAGCTAATTCCATTGTTCCAGTCGACCAAACTCATAGCTATTTCCTTAGAACTCTATTTTTTCTATCGATTGAATACAAGAAACTGCCCATTTACTGATTTCAACTACCCAGTAACGTGATCAGGGATTTGCAATTTGGCCAATTTCCCGAAAATTAAAAAACACGACAATTTCAAAATAGGGTCCAGAATGAACAATACAGACATTCCTGGCTCTAAAATAACATTTTCTTTGTTCATCAGTCACGTCTCCAGGCCCCTCTGATATTACTCTTGCTTTCTATTTTGAATTTTTATTCAAACAAAAAAATAGAAGATTTACTGTTATGCAGACTACTGCAATATTGTAATAATTGTATAAATAACATCAATCCATTCATGACTGCATATTAGAATTGCTAGTTGGACATTTATTGGAAAATGACATCATTTGTTTACTTTTGAACATTGGCAAATATCAAACATTTCCCCTACTTTGAGCTCCATTTCAAGGTTCTTTTTATAGTAAAACCAATCAAAATCACCTCTATTTCTATAATATGTTTTCCAGTCTATCAATGAGATCAAGAAAATGAGAATACAACAATAAATACTATATGAAAGTAGACCACAAATTCTGCATTTTAATTAAAAAAAAAATGGTCGGAATTTTTTTTTCTCATTATGCACTGCATGCTGCAGGATTTTTTTATATGGTGCACAGTGACCACAGATACTCATTCTCTCACATGTGGGCCTACCAGCTTTCTCCTGCTTGATTTGAAGCTGCTAGAATTTATGAGTACAGTGGACCCCCGGTATACGATATTAATCTGTTCCTGAGAGCTCATCGTATGCCAAAATTATTGGAAGGCGAATTAATTTTCCCCATAAGAAATAATGGAAATCAAAGTAATCCATGCAAGACACCCAAAAGTATGAAAAAAAAATTTTACCACATGAAATATTAAGTTTAATGCACACAAACTGAAGAAGACATGCACAGTTTGTAGTACTCTACTAACAATAGAATACATGACACTTACCTTTAATGAAGATCTGGTGATGATTGATGGGATGGGAGGAGGGGAGAGTGTTGAAGTTGTTAATGTTTAGAAGGGGAATCCCCTTCCATTAGGACTTGAGGTAGCAAGTCCTTTTCTGGGGTTACTTCCCTTCTTTTAATGCCACTAGGACCAGCTTGAGTCACTGGACCTCTGTCGCACAACAAATCTGTCCATAGAGGTCTGTGCCTCCCGTTCCTTTAAGATTTGTCTAAAATGGGCCACAACATTGTCATTGTAATAGTCACCAGCACGGCTTGCAATAGCTGTGTTAGGGTGATTTTCATCCATAAAGGTTTGCAGTTCAACGCACTTTGCACACATTTCCTTAATTTTTGAAGTAGGCACAATGGATTCCACAACTGGCATAGGCTTCTCAGGGTTAGCCCCAAACCCTTTAAAATCTTTCTTAATTTCCATACTAATTCTCACCCTTTTTACCACAGGGTTGACACTAGAAGCTTTCTTGGGGCCCATGGTGACTTATTTTGCAGAAACAAGCACCAAAAACACTGATAATATGGAATGTACCAAATGTATGCTTCGATGCGAGCACACTGGCTGGCTTGTAAACACTGGCACGCATGGGGCAGTTCAGGCCACATGTGGATGCATCCTGGACGAATCACGTGTGGCGGGTTTTTTAACGAGTGGCAAGGCAAAATTTTTGCGTTAAAATGTATCGAATACCGGATTTAACGTATACCAATGCCATTGAATGCCGGGGGTCCACTGTATATACATGTCAAACACGGTGGCTCGTAAGACGTATATATACGACCGAAACAGTCAAAGGGTTAATGCGACTTGCTTTTTCAGGACACCTAAGAGACCAAGTCTCTGCTTGGTCTCTTTTAGGTGTCCTGTAGCTGGGATAGTAGCACATTCATCTCACACACTGAGGTCCATGGTTCAATCCCTGGTACGGGTGGAAACATTGGGCGTATTTCCTGAAGACACCTACTGTCCCTGTTCACAAAGCAGTAAGTAGGTACCTGGATGTTAGTCACTTTACACCTGCTGTCCCAGTTCACCTAGCAGTATTAGTCAATTGGTGTGGGTCGCATCCTGGGGTACAAGATTAACCCAAGTTGCCTGAAATGCTCTGCATAACAAGGGACTTTCTGTATAGTATGTCACTGATGTCAGCTAGGGTTGTGTAAGTTGTATCATGTATTTTTTATTAATGTCTTTGCAAACAGTACATTGAGATTTTATATTTACATTAGTGGGTTGCAATGCAAAGAGAGCCTCTATTATGCCTAGGCATTATGGGCCAACTTAACATTATTGGCTTACAGACTACTTAACACTAAGTATTTTATCATAGTTGTACAGTAGGACAGTAATTATTTCATAGTTGAACAGTAGATTATTAATTATAAGTGAATTAAATTTGTATAAGAAAAAGGATATATTCTTATAGTCTAAAATGCTATTTGTGAAAACAATAGTTCAATTATATTCCTGTCAACAATGGATAAAAGGTTCAAAGTGATTGTTGAAGTTATGATGTGGGAGTACATAGGTGAGTATGTGTGTACTGAGTATTTAGTGTTTAGTCTAGGGTGATTAAGTAGCTTTTGAGAAGAGTCTTAAACTGGTTTTCAGACCGGGTTACTTTAATATCTTCTGGTAATGAATTTGATATTTTAGGGCCCTTTATGTGCATAGGGTTTTTACACAGTATCTTTATTTCGAAACATTTTGTCTACACAGTAGGCTTCTTCAGTCGAGTACAGAAAAGTTGATAGAAGCAGAAGATACTTGAAGACGATGTAATCAGTCCATCACCCTTGAAGTTTTGAGGGGATCAGTCCCTCAGTCTGGAGATTGTTCCATAGTCTGACCTTCCAACGACAACATTCTTACCTCTACTAGTGGCCTACGTCTCACCTCTTGGCGCTATAAAATGCTCCATCCTGTCACTTCAACTCCATATTGTTTCAGACTATGGAACAATACTCTTCTCCAGACTGAGGGACTGACCACCTCAAAATTTCAAGGGTGATGGACTGATTACATCGTCTTCAAGTATCTTCTGCTTCTATCAACTTTTCTGTACTTGACTGAAGAAGCCTACTGTGTAGGTGAAACGTTTTGAAATAAACATACTTAACTGTTGCATATGTGTCTTACCTAACAACCTGTCGGTATTTTATACCATTTGAATGTTCACTCTGTCAGACACTGCAACACAAGGGTATCTTGGTACAGACCTGAAATCAACTTTGTCAACTTCTACTAGTGAGAATGGCTGGATTTGAGAGGGACCTGACCTTCCAACGACAACATTCTTACCTCTACTAGTGGCCTACATCTCACCTCCTGGCGTTATATAAGGCTCCATCCTGTCACTTCAACTTCATATTGTTTCAGACTATGGAACAATACTCTTCTCCAGACTGAGGGACTGACCACCTCAAAACTTCAAGGGTGATGGACTGATTACATCGTCTTCAAGTATCTTCTGCTTCTATCAACTTTTCTGTACTCGACTGAAGAAGCCTACTGTGTAGGCGAAACGTTTCGAAATAAAGATACTTAACTGTTGCATATATGTCTTACCTGATTGGATGTTGTTGATCCCCATGCACAAATTCCATATGTAAGATAAGGGTATATGAGTGAATGGTACAGTGCCAGGAGAGCTGATTGTGGAACATAGTACCTTATCTTTGACAGTATGCCTACAGTCTTGGAGATTTTCTTGGTGATTTGTTGTATGTGTGTCCTGAACTTAAGGGTACTGTCAAGGTGGATACCTAGGAATTTTCTCTCTGTGAGTCTTGTGACTGATGATCCATTTAGCGCTATGTTAATTGGATCATTTACAGCTTTATTTCCAAACTGAATGAAATAGGTTTTATCAGTATTCAGGGTAAGTTTATTAGTCATCATCCAGGCAGATATTTTCTGCAATTCGGCACTGACTGTGTTTGCTAGTATGACCGTGTTTGGGTTTGAGTAGCTGTGATGCATTCGGTAGATCATTGATGTAGATGAGAAAGAGGAGTGGTCCAAGGACGCTTCCTTGTGGGACTCCTACCGTGATTGGTTGGGTGGAAGAGTTTGCACCATTTGCATACATATATTGAGTTCTGTTACTAAGGTATGATTTTAGGTAGTTGAGGGAGTGGCCTCTGATACCATAGTGTGT